GATGCCGCGCTTCCGAAGCTTGGCCACTTCGCTGGCAAGCTCATCCACGAGGTCGGAGCTACGCCGCAAGTGTCGCGCGCAAGATGGCGCGCGCTCCCCGCCGTGGCAAGCCGCGCATCGCCTGGGCAGGAGGTCGCTGGGCAAGCCTTCGAGGCTCGCGGTCTTGAGCGTGGCACAAATGTCCACGTGGGCCGCCGCGGGCGCCTGCGACGCGACGCACGCGACGTCGCGCGGCGGCGGGCGCGCGCAGTCGCGTCGACAAGCCTCGTCCTTCTTTTGGAGAAACGCGAGGAGGGCGGCGCTGGCGTCCCCGCTGGCCGATCCCGCGGCCGTCTGCAGCTCCTTCATATCACCCTGCGCGCGAGCGTGCACGCGCGCGCCGCTCGCGCTGCGCGGGAACGCCGGCCTTCTCGCGCCCGGCCAACTTGATGGCCGCGCGGACGCAGCGCTTCTTGCCGCCATCTAGATCGGCATTCTGGAAGCGGAAGTCCTCAAACTTGGCCCCGGCCAGCTCTGAGGGCACGGTGATGCTCTCGGCTGCCAGCGCCGCTGCGACCGAGTCGAACCAGGCGGCCTCCTGCGCGCCCGCCCCCTCGACGCGCTGGAGAAAAGCGCGAACAGTCTCCGGCGCGGCTTCGGCCATCGCGAAGCAGTGCGTTGCGCGCGCGCACAGGACTCAGCCGTTGCTGCGCTTGACGCTGACGGAAAGGTGACGCGACGACGCGAAGGGGGCGCCCACGCTGCGGCGCAGGCCGCATTGGCCGCGCGTGGCCGCTCTGGGCCGACGGACAATAAGCGCCCGTAAAATGCCAAGCCGCAGTGGCCTGCACCAGAGCCACTGAGCGCTGGGGCCGAATGGGCCCGCGCGTTTGCGAGGGCCGATTTGGCCCCGCACGGCCACTTGGGGCCGACGGGCAATATGCACCCGTGCGAAAGCAAGCCGCATTGGCCTGCAGCGGCGTATGAAGCCGGTTGGGTCCAGGAGCAGCCAGACGCTTGGGCCGACTGGGCCCGCGCACCTGCGAAAGACGTATTGGGCCCGCATGGCCACGTGGGGCCAACGGACAATATGCGCCCGTATAATGACAAGCCGTATTGGCCTGCGCCGGAGCATTTGCGAGGGCCGTATTGGCCCCGCACGGCCACTCGGGGCCGACGGACAATATGCGCCCGTGCGAAAGCAAGCCGCATTGGCCTGCACCAGCGTTGGAAGCCGACTGGGTGCAAGAGCAGCCAACAGCTTGGGCCGACTGGGCTCGCACACCTGCGAAAGCCGTATTGGCCCCGCATGGCCACGTGGGGCCGACGGACAGTATGCGCCCGTATAATGACAAGCCGTATTGGCCTGCGCCGGAGCACTTGCGAGGGCCGTATTGGCCCCGCACGGCCACTTGGGGCCGACGGACAATATGCGCCCGTGCGATAGCAAGCCGCATTGGCCTGCACCGGCGTTGGAAGCCGATTGGGTGCAAGAGCGCCAACTGCGAAAGCGCGCGCGCCGTCCGCCACGGGGGACGCAAGCGCACATGCCTGCGAGATGCAAGCACCAATGCCTGCACATCGCACGACCCCGAGGCGCGCCGCGAACCGCCCCGACGCGATCCCCGCGGCGCGCCTGCACGGGGCGTCCGACGCAAAGCGAGCAGAAGAGCAGACAAGCCACGCGCGTGACGACGCACCCCCCTCGCGCGCGGGCCCTTCGCGCGGGGCCGCGCGCCGCGAGGCACGTGCCGTCGCTCCCCCCCCCCCCTCGCGCGCGCAGGCCCTTCGCGTGGGGCCGCGCGCCGCGAGGCACATGCAGACGCCCCCCCGCCTCGCGCGCGCGGGCCCTTCTCGTGGGGCCGCGCGCCGCGCGGCGCAGGAAAGCGGGAGGCGGCCCGCGCGCCCAGCTTGCCCGCCCGCGCGCGGGCCAGGCGCGGGCGCGAAATTTGTGCCCGCGCACAACGCAGCACAAGCGAGCGCGCGCGCTTTCGATGGCGCTGGGCGCCCACAAAGAATCACGACCAGAACCCCAAGCCCCATCTTCCGGCGTCACTCTCCGAGCCAGATCGGTCCGGGTGGGCCCCCGGGGCCTCAAGCTTAGCGAGAGCGCCCGTGGTGAAACAAGTGCAGCGCCAGGATCTCAAGCTACCGTTGCCCCTGAGGCCTGAGGCTTCGGGTCACAACCCGGCTCTCCGGCGGCCGCTCGGGACGATCCCTGGCACCCCCGGGAGAGCTCTTGGCGAGACGCCGCCCCCGAGGACTGCCTCCCTGGCTGCTCCCAGCCTCGGAGGCAAATAGTCAACTCCGCCGCCGTTTCCAAATTCGACGGCTTGTTAAACGATTCCACGTCTGAGCCCTTTCACTTCTCCCCCCAGAGATCCAGCGTTTTCAACCAATCAAGGCGGAGACGTTTCGTATGTTTCGGCCCCGTAGGGGCCCTCACAGGGTCCTGGGGCCGTCAAAAAACGACTGAGGAGGAAAAACGGATCCTGGGGAATGGGTCGAGACTTCGGGGGACCCCGTATTGAACAAAAACACGACATCAAATCTCTGGGCTCCCCCCGCGCGGCCGCCCTCTTACTCCCCCCCCTTGCACGCCGGGCAACGAGCCTTGCGGTTGCCCCGAATAGCCACACGCTGGAGCGGACTGCCACTGCCACCGCCGACACAAAAAAGTTCGTTCTCACTTCATCGGATTCATCAAGTCCGTCGGGGTCCCCCAAGCATCCTGGCGAGAGCTGCTCATTTTCCTCCAGATCCCGCACCCGACGGCCCTGAGGATGCACGGCTTCCCCTGGCGACCCGAGGGGGGAATGAGGAGGAGGAGGAGGAGGAGGAGGAGGAGGAGGAGGTTGGAGAGGAGGAGGAGGAGGAGGAGAGAAGGAGGAGGAGGAGAGGAGGAGTAGGAGGAGAGAGGATTAGGAGGAGGTGAGGAGAGGGGAGGGGAGGAGGAGATGGAGGAGGAGGAGGTAAAAGGAGAGGAGGAGGAGGAGGAGGAGGAGGAGGAGAGGATGAGTAGGAGGGAAGGGGGAGGAGGAGGAGGGAGGAGGGAGGAAGGAGGAGGAGGAGAGGAGGAGGAGGAGGAGGAAGGGAGGAGGAGGAGGGGAGGAGAGGAGGAGGAAGAGGAGGAGGAGGAGGAGAAGAGGGAGATGGAGGAGAAAGGAGGAGTAGGAGAAGAAGAGGAGAAGGGGAAAGGAGGAGCGAGGAGGATTAGGAGGATTAGGAAAGGAGGATGAGAGGAGGAGGAGGAGGAGGAAGAGGAGAGGAGGAGGAGGAGGAGGAGGGAGGAGGAGGAGAGGAGGAGGAGTGAGGAGGAGGAGAGTAGGGATTGTGAAAGGAGGAGGAGGAGGAGGAGAGGAGGAGGAGAGGAGAGGAGGAGGAGGAGGAGTAGGAGGGATGAGGAGAAGGGAGGAGGAGGAGGAGGAGGAGGAGGAGGAGGAGGAGGAGGAGGGGGAGGAGGAGGAGGGAGGAGGAGGGAGGAGAGGAGGGGAGGAGGAGGAGGAGGAGGATGGGAGGGGAGAGGAGAGGAGAGGAGGAGAGGAGGAGGAGGAGAGGGAGGCGGAGAGGAAGGAGGAGGGGAGGAGGAGGGAGGAGGAGGCGGAGAAGAGGAGGAGGAGTAGGAGGAGGAGAGGAGGAGGAGGAAGAGGAGAGGAGAGGAGGAGGAGGAGGACGGGAGGAGGGAGGAAGGAGGAGGAGGAGGAGGGAGAGATGAGGAAGGAGGGGACGAGGAGGAGGAGGAGGAGGAGGCGGAGGAGAAGGAGGCGGAGGAGGAGGAGGGGAGAGGGGAGGAGGAGGAAGGGAGGAGAGGATGAGGAGGAGGAGGAGGAGGAGGAGGAGGAGGAGGAGGAGGAGGAGGGGTCGCCTCAGCCCTTCGGAGAAGCCCTCCACCTCAGGAGGGCCCCCACGGCTCCCCACCCCGCGACCCCCCATTCCACGGCCCCCACGACGGCTCCCCACGCCTGCTTCTGAACCTCCCACGACGCTTCACCACGACGACCCGATGCCTCACCCGACCTCCGACTCCCCACCAGGCGCCCTGCCCTACAGTGGAGGCCCGACCACAAGAAGCCTTCCACAAAACAAAAAAACAACCCACGAGATCCCGGGCCGTCTCTTGGGTTTCGGCGTGGGATCGTCACGCCTTCCACAGCAACGCCATCGAAGCCCAAGAAAAACCCAGGGCACCCTGGAGGCAAGCAGGGTGCTGCTTGGCATGGGCCCCCACTGTACGCCTGGCCCGACCGACACCCCGCCCTGCCCTGGGCCCACAGCCCCTGCCCTTCCCACCCGCAGGCGGGGGAGCGCGCCGTGGGGGGAATCTCTCTGGCCGTGGCGGGCGGGGCCCCGCGGAGGGGCAGCATCCCCGCAGTGGGGGGCCTCCCGGGAAACTCCGAGGGGGGGGGTCCTCCCGGGGGCCTCCCGGGACCCCCCCCCCAATCGGCGCCTCCCGTTGGCCTCCTGGGGCCTCCGGGACTTTCTGGGGCCTCCCGTGGGCCTCCTGGGGGCCTCCGTCGAGCAGGGGGTCGACTGCAGAGCTGACTTCGCCCCCTAGATTGATTTGCTCGTCGAGTCAGACGTGAGCTGTTCGCAGACGTAGGACACTTCCATACGCGTTTCCCACGGCTTCAACGAACAAACCAAATTTGGGGCAAACCAGTTCTGCAGTCGATCCCCTGCTCGACTCCTTGGGGCCCCCCGTTGGCCTCCAGTGGCCTCCTGTTGGCCCCCATAATTAGGGGGCAAACAAACCTATCTCGCTTTTGACCACCCTCGCTTCCAAGAGATACCAGGCGATGCCAAACTACGGCATGTACTGGTCAGGCCGCTTGACGAGGAGGCGTATGGTATGACTTGGTTTTGCCTGGAAACGAAAGCGGGGTAGGTAATTCACGCTCTGAATAATGGCCTCCCGTGAGCCTCCCTGGGCCTGTTGGCCTCGCGTGGCCCACTCCTCCCCGCGCCGGGCGGCCCGCGCCGGCGCAAGCAGCGGGCGGCGGCCCCCCCCCCTCCCCCCGCGCCCGCTGGCTCGTGGTGCCCCGCATTGCAGGACTCGAGAGCGGGCGGCGAGTGGGTATTAGTCCTGCTTTGGGGGGGGGCTCTGCCTCCCTCCTCTCTCTCTCCTGCTCTCTTGCCTCCGTTCTCTCCCCTCTCTCTCCTCCTCATCCTCCTCCATCCATCCATCCATCCATCCATCCATCCATCCATCCATCCATCCATCCATCCATCCATCCACATCCATCCATCCATCCATCCATCCATCCATCCATCCATCCATCCATCCATCCATCCATCCATCCATCCATCCATCCATCCATCCATCCATCCATCCATCCATCCATCCATCCATCCATCCATCCATCCATCCATCCATCCATCCATCCATCCATCCATCCATCCATCCATCCATCCATCCATCCATCCATCCATCCATCCATCCATCCATCCATCCATCCATCCATCCATCCATCCATCCATCCATCCATCCATCCATCCATCCATCCATCCATCCATCCATCCATCCATCCATCCATCCATCCATCCATCCATCCATCCATCCATCCATCCATCCATCCATCCATCCATCCTCCTCCTCCTCCTCCTCCTCCTCCTCCTCCTCCTCCTCCTCCTCCTCCTCCTCCTCCTCCTCCTCCTCCTCCCCCGAGGGGGAGGGCACCGGCAGAGGGAGACGTGCGAGCGTCAGGTGCGACTCGGGTGAGCTGTTCTGAGAGCGCCTCGCAGGTGCACGCGCGGCCGAAGGCCGAGCCGAAGCTGAAGGCGGAGAGGAGGAGGAGGAGAAGGAGGAGGAGGAGGCGGAGGAGGAGGAGGAGAGGCGGAGAGGGAGAGTGAGGAGGCGGCGGCGGTCTCGTCAGGAAAAGGAATCAAGATGCGCCAATCTCTAGACTGAGTGAATTGCTCCGGCTCCTCGAGAGCGCAAGTCTGCGGTGCAATTCGCACGTGGGGGGCCCAACCACTCCTTCGGCACACAGAACGGAGGTATCCCTGCGGCCAGGAGCGCCCCGACACCAAACTTTTGGGCTGCTACAAGCAGGCGAGCGGGATGGGATCTTTGGAACCACAGAGAGGGAAGAGAGGGGGGGGGGATATTCCAGGATTCCGGGTTCGCCTCGCGCGCGGGCCCGCGTAGGGGCACGAGGCCCAGGCAGAAGAGAAGAGGGTCACCGAACGACGGCGATGAGGCGGCAGAGCACGCGATGACGACAGTCGAACGAACGCAGCAGCGCGAAGGGCGACGACGACGACGACGACGACGACGACGACGACGACGACGACGACGACGGCGGCGGCGGCGGCGGCGGCGGCGGCGGCGGCGGCGGCGGTGACGGCAACCGCTCGCGCGGAGGCGGTTGCGATGGGCCGCCTGCTGCGAAGAGGGGGGGGGGGCGGCGCAGGGGGCCTGGAGGGCGACGGCAAGCCGCGCGGTCAGGCGCAGGTCTCGGGTGCGCGCTCACGGCCGTAAGAAGAACAGACGGCTTGCCATCGCTCAAGCGTCCCTTTCCCGTGCATTTGTCGGTTTCGTGCGTGATTTTTGTGGCCTGAAGATCCGGGCTGCTCTTCGATGGTCCTCGCCGGGAAAGCATGCACACGTCCGAGCGATGCCAAGACAGCTGCATAAACAGAATCTTTTGGCGCTCCCCGCGGATTTTGCGGATCGGCGCTGGGCCCCCTTGCGGCGCCTCCGGCGCCGCCCCTGGCGAACTCCGCGCGCCAGGGAGGAGGGATCATCGCCGACGCCGGATATCCGCGCGGAGCGCCACAAGTTTATGATGATGCATTGTTTTTCTCGCTATTCACTCCCAGGCCCTGCAGCGTTCACGTCCCGAGCTTTTCCGAGCCTCCCTCCCCGCGGAGCGCAGCGACACGCTATCCGCTCGCACGACACAGCGTGTCGCCGGGGCCGCCCCCGCGACATAGTATGCAAGAGTTCCTGGCCGTGCTCCATGGGATGGCGCCCCGATTCTATGACCGCAGACGGTTGCGACGCTACAGGACTTGGCAACCTTGCCTGCATCGGACGGCAGCGAACACCAGGCGCCGCAGCTTCCGCCCCTGGCACTCTTCCCTCGAGGGCCGCCAAAGCAGCGCGGCGATGGGATCGCGCCCTAGGACGTCGGTTCGCTGGTGATGAGAGACGGGATGGGGGAGGAACCAGCGTCATGAGGGAGGAAGGGAGGAGGGGGAATGATGATGATGAGGAGGAGGAGGCGGAATGAAACATAGGGATCACCTTCACGCCCGAGGAATATGTAATCGCACGTAATGGTGAACATATGTGCGTATGCACGTATATACATATGCATGCATGCATGCGTGCATTCATGTGAATAGGTATGTGTATACATATATACATACATATGTATATATGTATATGTGTACATGCATGCATACATGCATAAATGTACGTATGTACGTGTGCACGTATGCATGTAGGTATGTATGTATGCATGCATGTATGTAATGATGTGTATGTATGTATGCATGTGTGAATGTGTGTACGTGTGTTTGCATGGGTGCTTGAATGTCTGTATGTATGTATGCATGCATGCTTGTACGCATGTATGTGTACATGTATGTGTATGTATGCATGCGTGCATGCAGGTGTGTATATATACACATGTGTGTGCACACATGTATGTGTGGATGTATGGATGTATGTATGTTTGCATGTATGCACGTATGCGCAGATGTATGCACGTATGTATGTAGTATGCATGTATGCACGTCTGTGCATATCGCTATGCATGTGTGCATGTATGCATGCATGCGCGTGTGTAATTATGTTTGTATCACTGTGTATATACATGTATGCCTGTGTGTATGGATGCGTGCATGTATGTATGTGTGCGCACGTATGTAACAAGGTGTGTATGTATGTGTATATGACGGTATGCATGTATGTATGTGTGGATGCATGCATGCATGCATGTACGTATGCATGCATGTATGTATTTATGTATGCATGTGTGTATGTATGTGTGTATGTATGTGTATGTATGGGTGCATGCATCTATGTCTGGGTGATTGCACGTGAGGTTGAACATATAAGACCTCGACGTGCGCGAACTGAGGGCCGCCATCATCACCACCATCGCCGCGAAGAAGACGAATCCCATCATTGAAGCCGGACAGATCGAAATGACGGCCTTCGGGGAGCGCACCATGGAGCTGCGAGACCAAGTTCCGACACGGCCGCGATCGGGCACAAACAGGCGCTCCTTTGGATTCGCATCGTCGGCACCGTCGTAAAGGCCGAACGCGGCCCTGAGCTACAACTGGCCATCAACCCGCTGAAGCAGCACCATGCGTCTGGGGCAAACACGAAGTACCCCGCGGAACGCATGCCGCTACGCAAGTTCCAGAAGGCCTTCGACAAGAAATCGGTGAAACTCCATGTCACGGTGAGCCAGGAGCTAGCCTGCGTGATGATGCGATTGCGAAGGTTCTCGAGGCTGCCGTTGCCAAGCGCAAAGCGGACCAGGAGGCTTCCAGCTCTCTCGTGCGTGAGCTTCAGACGCAGCTGGACCGGCTGAGGGAGCTAGGGTAGGGATCTCGATGGGTGCATTCATGGATCCAGAATCAAGCCAGTAGGGACGACAATCTGAGGTGAGCTGAGAATGCTGGCCACAATGTGCGCTCGCTAATTTCTCTGCTTCCTGGGCGTCCCGGTCCTCTCGCTTCCCCTCTCCCTTTCTTAGGGGAACAACAAGTGGCATAAACATAACAACTCCGAGGTCCGCCTGGATGTCTCGGAGCGGCGCTGGACCCCCCTCCATGGCGCACGGGGCGCGCCCGCGGCGGCGCCGGAGGCGCCGCGGGGGTCCCCAGCACCGATCCGAAGAACCCGCGCGGACCTCCGAGTTTTTATGTTTATGCCACCTGTTGTTCCCCTATTTCTGTCTCCCCCGCTGCCCTGTCTTGCCTCTTTCGGGAGCGGCCAAGAGGGGGGTGTCCAAGAGGGGGGGGTGCACATCATGACAGGCGGTATGTGCGCGGGGCCCAGCGGGGGGGCCAGGGACGTAATGAAACAAGAAGAGACGCCATGATATCTGGGGAAATATCATGGCCCACGCCATGATATCCACCCCCCCTAATCATCACCCCCCTCTTTTCCGCCCCCGACTCTTTCCACCCTCGGTCTCCTCCGTAGCTCGACCGACGTCGCCGGCGTCGGCAGGCGCTGGGGCGCGTGCCGTTAGCCCGAGGCCGCGTGTCCCGTCCTGCGTCCTACGCCCTGGCTTTGCTCTTGTCGAGGATGGGCAGATCCCCCTTCAGCAAAACGTGACTTCGCGCAAAACGACCTACGAGCTCCCAGGAGGCATCTGCCATCAGCTCCCCCTTTCAGCTTCGCGGCTGTTGTGTGAGTCGGCCGGCCGGCCTGTGCCTGTTGTAGCTAATTAGCCTAGTTCGCGTCCCAGACTTTGCTCTTGCCGCCCGACCGTCGTCTCGCGGCCGCGACCAAAAAAAGAAAACTACCTCGGGCCCAGACCTGGCGGGCCCAAGCCTGGAAGATGACGGCGGCGGCGCCCTCTCTAGAACCGGGGCGGAGGCTCCAGCTGAGCCGTTTCGGCTGCCCCCCCCCCCCCAAATGTTCGTCGGAAGGGGTGGGGCCGTAGCCACGGGGGCGTAAGATTTCACTGCGACAGACGTCGCTTGCTCGTGTTTGGCCCCTCCTCGGGCCACAGGCGCGTACCGAAACCAAGACCGAGGGACGTATATGATGTGTGCACGTTTGTCAGTCTGTCTGTATGTGTGTGTGTGTGTGCGCCTGTGTCTGTCGGTCTGTCTGCCTGTCTTTTTTTCCTGGAACACAGCCCCATCATGTGTTATCACGCCTCAACCAGAACAGTGAAAGGATTCGCACTGCCATTGCACACTGCCCCGAAACACGGCGGCGCTAAGCAAGCCTGATGCCCGCGGTTCCTCTCGAAACGCGCCGCCGAGGATGCGTGCAACAGGAGTGAGGAGCGAAGCGGAGGACGACAAAGAGGAGGAGGAGGAGGAGGAGGAGGAGGAGGAGGAGGAGGAGGTGGAGGAGGAGGAGGAGGAGTTTATATATATATATATGTATATATATATATATATATATATATATCCCCCCCGCAGGGCCCGTAGCGAGCCCCGTCCGTCCGTGTGCAGGGTTTGGGGCGTCACCTGGGGCACCCGCGCGGGGCACCCACCTGGCCGTGCCGACCCCCGAGAAGGGCCAGACCACCGAAGCGCCCTCCCCTGGGCCCCATTCGCGGAGGTGTGCAGCATCACCAGGGGCGCCCCCACGAGGCACCCACCTGGCCGTGCCGACCCGTAAAAGGGCCAGACCACCGAAGCCACTCCCTCCCTGGCACACACTCAACCTCAGAGATCAGCAGCCAGATCCGCATCCAGAATCATCTTCTCCACCATCATGCCGTCCCACTGCGGAGTACTAGCGGGGTTGCCACACTCGTAGACGATCATCGGGCCCGCCTCTGTACGCTCATCGTCGGGGTACACCTCCAAGCAGACAGCGCCCTCGCGAATGCCAGATATCTTCGCGACACGCCCAATCCAGGGGCCGCCAAGAAAAAGTGACGAACCGACCCACGAACAATTCCAAGGGCCAAGCGTGGTGCTGGCAGAGCTCCGCGAGCGGCAACCGCCGGCGCCAGCTCACGAACTCCTCCTCATGCCATACAATCTCACGTATAATCCGCGCGGGGGCTGCGCCAGCACCAGAGGACAGCACCTGCGAACCGAAACTCCGCTCGAGCGTATTCTGGAAGTTCTATTGCGCGTCCGCCAAGGGCTTGAGAAGCTCCGCAAGTAAAGCCTCAACGTCTCCACCGCCAGCTCCATCACGAAGGAGAGCACGACCATCCCAGCCATGACTGCCAGTACTCTCATTAGCAGCAACCACAGGAGCCCCGCGATGAGGAATATTGAAGGCAACGCGCAAGGCGTCGTCCTCAGGGTACCCGTCGACGTCCATCTCGTACATCATGGAGTCCACTATGTCGCTGTCGGCCTGGTAATCGCATGGAGCAGGAAGGGCAGGAAGAGCAGCACAGCCACTAGGAGGCACACACGACGCCGCCCTCGTCCGAGATGCAATAGCCCATGCCGTGATCACAATGTGCATTATCATCCGAAGGCTCTCGAAGAGCTTGGCCTCGGCCATCTGGCAAGGCACTGAAAGCGCAGGGAAAGCAGGTACCAGTGGAAGTGCATCCGCCTGAGCACCCATGCCACCGTCAACATCATCCACAGGTCTGTCAGCACGCTGCTTGCGAGGCATCTTCGGGGGCCTGCCACTGGCTCCGCTGCCACCGCGGCGCACCGTCCCGCCACCGAGCCAGGGGTCGCCACCAGCAAACCACGGATCTAGACCTCGGACATCCACATCGCCAGGACCTCCATCGTCATCCCCCTCCTCGTCATCACAACCGCCAGGAGAGCCCCCACCAGCAGGTGGGCCAGGAGGACTACCTCCAGCTTCAGGAGGAACCCGCCGAAAAGATATCGAGATGTGCGATTCGCCAGCCGAGGTACAATGGCCATGATCAACAACCACTGCATGCGGAAGAGAATCCAATAGTGAAGTCACCAGTTGGAGGGCGAAGGAGTTGAGCATGAGCGAGTCGAACACTGGTAACAACACCACGTTGACGATCACCTTGTCGCAGTGTGAGTTCACCCGCAGCCGGCACTGCCTCCCAAGGGCCAGCTGGTCCGAGAGCCATCGCAGCCGAGCAGCGCACACCATCAGCGCCTGAGGGGGGAACGGGCCGCGGGAAGGCGAGGGGGGAGGGGGGAGCGGGGGCGCACGGGCGCCCCAGTGGCCCTATGCCCAGCACGTGCTCGAGCGACGGGCTAGAGGAGGAGGAGGAGGAGGAGGAGGAGGAGGAGGAGGAGGAGGAGGAGAAAGAGAGGACGAGGAGGAAAACAACGCAAAAGGTCGACGAGGACCTCTTGGCCGCGCGAGGCCGCCGCGGGAAGGGCAGAACGAAAAGGTGCACAGTTTTGATTCCAGACTGGCACCAATACAGTCTGCGACCGTCTGTCTGTCTGTCTGTCTGTCTGTCTGTCTGTCTGTCTGTCTGTTTGTCTGCACGTATGTATGTATGTATGTACTTATGTCTGGCTGTCTGTATGTATATTTGTATGTATGATTGTATGCATGTGTCTATACATTTTCCCCAATCAGAGCTTGCCTCTGTACGGATCTCAACGAATTCGTATGGTTAGCTGAGGTGTGCCACCGATTCCCGCAGCCCGCCTGGGTGCCCGGGTGCCCGGGTGCCTAGGCGCCTGGGTGCCCAGGTGCCTTGTAGCCCTACAGTGCCCAGGTGCCTTGTAGCCCTATAGCCCTATAGCCCTATAGCCTAATGGCCCTGTAGCCCCATAGCCCAGTAGCCCTATAGCCCTATAGCCTTATAGCCCTATAGCCTTATAGCCTTACAGCCCTACATTCCTATAGCCCTATAGCTCCAAAGCCCCGTAGCTCTATAACCCTATAGCCCTATAGCCCTATAGCCCAATAGCGCTATAGCCCCATAGCCTTGTAGCCCTATAGCCCTATAGCCCAATAGCCCAATAGCTCTATAGCCCTATATCCTTATAGCCACATATCCCTATAGCCTTATAGCCCTATAACCCTATCGCCCTATAGCTCTAAAGCCCCGTAGCTCTATAATCGTATAGTCTTATAGCCCTATAGCCCTATAACCCTGTAGCCTTCTAGCCCTATAGCCCTATACGCCTATAACCCTATAGCCCCATAGCCCTATATCCCTCTAGCCCTATAGGCCGATGGCCATATAGCCCTAAAGCCCCATAGCCCTATAGTCTCATAGTCCCATGGCCCTGCAGCCCTATAGCGCCAGAGCCCCATAGCCCCGTAGACCTATAGCCCTACGGTCCTATAACCTTGTGGCTCAATAGCCCTATAGCCCTGTGGCCCGGTAGCCCTGAACGTAGTTTCATAGCCCTATAGCCCCATAGCCCCATCGCCCTATAGCCCAATAGCCCCACAGCCCTATAGGCCTAACAAACGTTCGTTTGGGGGTGTTCTCTGGTATCATATGTATGTATGTATGCATGCATGCCTGTATGTATGTATGTATGTATGTATGTATGTACGTATGTATGTGTGTATGTTTGTTTGTTTGTTTGTTGGTATGTTTGTATGGTTGTATGCTTGGATGTATGTATGTATGTATGTAGGTATGTGCGTATATGTGTATGTATGTGTGTAGGTATGTAGGTATGTTTGTATGTATGATGTATGAATGTATGCGTGTACAGATGCACGTCGACAAACGTATGCATGCATGTATACATGTATATGTATATATGTATGTATGGATGCACGCGCGCATGCATGCATGCAGGTATGTATAGATGCAGTGGTGCAGACATGCATATATGTATGCATGCATGTATGTATGTATGGATGTAAGCACCTGAGTATGTTTTTTTTATGTGTGTATGTATATACGCGTGTTTGTTTTTAGGACTGATTGTATGTGTATGTGTGTGCATGTATGCATGTATGTATGGATGTCTGTTTGTTGTCTGCATATATGTATGAATGTATGTATGTCTGCCTGCCTGTCTGTCTGTCTGTCTGTATGTATGTGTGTATGTATGTGTGCATGTGCATGCATGCATGTATGTATGCCTGTACATATGCATGTATGTATGCCAGTCTGTCTGTTTGTCTGTATGCATGTATCAATGTATGGTTGTGTATGTATGTATACATGCATGCATGAGTGCATGTATGTATGCATGTAAGTATGTATGCCTATGCGCGTGTATGTGTGTATGTGTGTATGTGCATGCATGTATGCATGCGTGAATGAATGTATGTAGGTATGGATGTGTGTATGCATGTATGTATGTATGTATGTATGTCTGTCTGTCTGTCTGTCTGTCTGTATGTATGTATGTATGTATGTATGTATGTATGCACGTATGTATGTATGATGTATGTATGTATGTGTGTGTGTATGTATGTATGTATGTATGTATGTATGTATGTATGTATGCGTGGATGTATGTATGCATGCATGCATGCATGCACGCATGCATGTATGTATGTACGTATGTATGTATGTATGTATGTATGTATGTATGTATGTATGTATGTATGTGTGTATGTGTGCATGTATGTATGTATGAATGCATCCATGCATGCATGGATTTATGTCTGCATGAATGCGTGTATGTATGTATGTATATATATACATCCACACGTACACATGCACCTGCGCAACGCAACAGGAGGCCCACAAACCCATTATGTTGGGTGAATGGATGCAGTCGTAGGCATGCAACACTGAAGGCACACTGCAGCGACGGCTTTCCAAGCGCTGGGGCTCGATTGGGGACGGGGGGGGAGTGTCGTCGCATCCGCACTGCTGATCCGCGAAGCTCGAGGCTGCCCCCTGGGTCGTTTAACTTCGCGCATCGCGCCCCACGATGCGCGACGCGCGACTACCTTCGCGCCCTCGCGTCCTTTCGCCCTCCCGTCGCCGCCTTTGAAAAAGGGCACCCGCGTTTGCCCAGCATGAAAGAAACGGGTCCTGAGAAAGACGGGTCCTGGACCCCGAGGCCTTCCCCCGGGACCAGTAGCTCTTCATCCTGAATCGTTCTCTGGAGGTCCCGGGGCCCGTGGAGGGCTCAGGGAGGCGAAACATAGAGAAACGGAGCAGGACCCGTTCCTCTCAGGACCTGCTTCTTCCCTGACCCCTGGGATGCAACTCGCCGCCCGCGGCGACCGTCGTCCTTGACGCTGCCTTTGCCGAAGCAGCCGCAGAAGAAGCCGGAGCCGCCCTTTCGGACCTCCAGGTCGTCCGGCTGGCGGGGCGGGTCCCTGCCCGCCCGCTCGGCTCGGGGGTGCGGGCCATGCGCTCCCATCTCCACCTTCTGCTCCTCCTCCGCCCCTCCTCTGTCCTCCTCCTCCTCCTGTCCCTGTTCGTCTCCTCCCCTCTTCCTCCTCCTCCTCCTCCTCCTCCTCCTCCTCCTCCTCCTCCTTTGTCCTCCTCGTCCGCCTCCACCTCCTCTCCCTCCTGCTCCTGCTGGTCATCCTCTGCACCCCCCTCCAGCTCCTCCTCCTCCACATTCTCCACGTTGTTCTCCTCTCATCTCCTCCTCCTCCTCCTCCTCCTTCCTCCTCCTCCTCCTCCTCCTCCTCCTCCTCCTCCTCCTCTCCTCCCCCTCCTCCTCCCTCCTCCTCCTCCTCCTCCTCCTTCCTCCTCCTCCTCCTCTCCTCCTCCTCCTCCTCCTCCTCCTCCTCCTCCTCCTCCTCCTCCTCCTCCTCCTCCTCTCATCCATCATCATCATCATCATCATCATCATCATCATCCCCCCTTCTCCTCTCCTCCTCCTCCGCCCCTCTTCCTCCTCCTCCTCCTCCTCTCTTCACTATCTCTTCTTCCTCCTCCTCCTCCTCCTCCTCTTCCTCCTCCTCCTCCTCCTGCTCCTCCTCCTCGTGTTATCTCCCCCTCCTCCTCCTCTTCCTCGTCCTCCTGCTCCTCCTCCTCCTCCTCCATCTCCCCTCACCCACCCGATCGTCGTACTTACTCGTGATATAGTTGTCCTGGTTCCCTTTACCCATCCTAACGTTCTAATTAATCGTGGCACCGTTCCTCACTTATCGGTGTTATACTTGTTTGTTGTTGCTCTCTCTCTGTATATATAGGTATGTATATATGTTCCACTTCCTCTTCCTGTCCCTTTTTCGATTCGTCGTACTGCTCTTCCTCTCCATCATCATAATCATCCTCGTCATCCTCATCCCTTCTCTGCCTCTTTGTCCTCCTCCTCATCCTCCCTATAATATTCCCTATCCTCCCGCTCCCGCTTCTACTTCTCCTCCTCCTCCTCCTCCTCCTCCTCCTCCTCCTCCTCCCCCTCTTCGGCCCAAAGTTCTCAGCAAGGCTGAGAAGGCGGCCAGAGGTCTTCCCAATGAATGTGGGTGTGGTGTGTGGGGCCCCACTGTGGCGCGCGCGCGCGCGTGTGTGTGTGTGTGTGTGTGTGTGTGTGTGTGTGTGTGTGTGTGTGTGTGTGTGTGCGTGTGCGTTTGCGGTGGCTTGGTCGGGGACGGATGGGGGGAGGCGAGCGTCGCGCCCGCGCGGCCCGCTCCTGCTCCTCCACTTCCAGGACCAGCCCCGCCGCGCCCCCGCCGCCCCCGCCGCCCTTTTCTGCTTCTTTTCATGTGACTTCGTCATTGGCCTCATCTCATCTCATCTTCCCTCTCTCTTCCTCCTGTCCTCCCTCTCTTCCTCCTCCTCCTCCTCCTCCTCCTCAGATGGCTTCTCCTCCACACTTCCGTTTCCCCTTCTGTTTGGTTAGTCCAATGTTGGACGTGAGTTACTCGTTGACGCGTGTTTGCCTATTACACTTCCTTGTTGTTGTGACTCGCTCGCTGGGGTGTGACTCCACTCTTCCCCAAAACAACATACTGTGCTGTTGAATCCCTGTTTCGAGCAAGCGGCGCTCCGCGTCTCCTTTCTTTCTTCCGTCCTTCCTTGCTTCTTTCCTTCCTTACTTCCTTCTTTCCTTCCTTCCAGCTGCCCTCCCACTCCTCCAATCCGTGCCTCTGCCCTTCACATGTCAAGCACTTCGGCACACCCTCACACGCTTCGTGGCCACACAGAGAGCTCCACCTACGGCCCCAATCGAGCGGTGCTCATTGTGGCGTCGCGCCGATTTCGGCATTCTCCCCCACACGTTCCGTGGCCCTACAAGGTGCTCCACCCAAGGCCCACTGGTGCAGTTCGCATGGTGGCGCCGCGCTCATTTCGGCACACCGCCCTGCAGGGCGCTCCACCTAAGGCCCCAGTGGGGCAGTTCGCATGGTGGCGTCAGGCTCATGTCGGGACACCTTTCGCATGGCTCGTGACCCCAATGGGAGCTCTCCCCCCAAGGTCTCATTGGCGCAGTTCGCGCGATGGCCATTCTGGCCCAGCAAGGTTTCCTCAAGCAGGCTGCAATAATGGTGGTCCCCACCAGGACTGCGGGCCGAAGCCCCTGACCAAGACCAAGGAGAACACAAAACTGCGACGGTCGTCCCCAGCCGACTTCGCGCTGCCAGGGCGGCGGGCGCGTGCAAGGTCACGACGCAGTGCGAGCAGGAGGAGGAGGAGGAGGAGGAGGAGGAGGAGGAGGAGGAGGAGGAGGGGAAGGAGGAGGAGGAGGAGGACTGAAGAGCGGCCCCCAGCAGCAACCAGGAGAAGCAAAGGACAGGCTCAGCAATCCCACTCTTGGGCACGCAGCGGCGAAACCTGGACTCCGTCTCGCAAGATCCTGCATGCCTGCGCTCTTCTGGACGCATGGAGAGGGCGAAAAGAACGGAGGGGGGCAGCAACAGCAGCAAACAGGCAGAGAAGCAAGCGAATGGTGGGGAACAGGGGCGGGGCGGGGGCCGTCGCCGTGAACGATCGTAGGAAACGGTCGTCGGGGCGGACGCGGGCGCGGCAGGCGCGGGCGCGTCGGAAGCAGGGTGGCTGCTGCTGGCGGCGGCGACGACAAGCGTGGGCGCGTCAAGGGCAGCGCGGCAGCTGCTGGAGGGGGGCCCGGGACCGCGAGGGCGGCCTGCCCACCCCGCCCCCCGGCAGGGAATCCCGCTCGCCCTCAAAGCGGGGGGGGAGAGGGGGGCGCAATGCGGCGCTGGCGGGGACTCGCACGGCGTCAGCCGCGGCCGCCGCCGAGGCCGCTGCAAGTCGCGCAGCAGTCCCCCCCGTCGGCGGCTGCAACTGCCGCAGCACCGCCCGCGCGCACTCCCGAAGAAGGGATGTTGAAAGCCGCTGGGCGCGCTGGTCCGCCACGAGGGCGGCGCCATCCCCGGTGTAGTCAGCCACCAGTTTGGCCAAGATCGCAGAAGCTTTCCTGGCCTCTCGCCCCACCCGCCACCGTGGGCCTCCACCGCCATAGGTGTGAAGGTGAGGTCCTGCGCGGCGCATTGGCGCTCGATTTCCAAGTCCGTAGCCGCGCAGCCGAAGCGGCGAGGAGGTCGGCGCGAAACCAAGGAGGGACAGGGAAGTCCCAGGCCGCTGGCACCCCGTTGCGTCACCTGGGCAAGTAGACGTCAGCGGGGCGCCTGTCGCTGGCGTCCAGGTCCGGCCCGTCCTGCTCGCCGCTCGGAGGTCCTTCGTTGGTGGCCGCAGCGGCAGGAGCCCCAGCCGTTCCAGCTCCGCCCCCGCATAGCCCGCCGCTTGCGCATCGAAGAACCCGTGGTTCTGGAGCGCGATGTGGCGATTCGTCATCTCGCCGCGGCAAGAGCAAGCAACCGCGTGGTCTAGCCAAGCGTCCATCACCTCTCCGCAAGCGGGGCCGGAGTCCTCCTGGTCGAGGGCTGGACTCGGAGTCGTCGCTGGACCGCTACCTGGAGGAGGCCGCGCTGGAAGCGGGTGCCCGTGGCGTCACAAGGCGGCGCCTGGAGGAAAGCACCAGCGGCGGGCGCCTGTAATTAGTAATTAGCAATCTGAGGTGCGCCTGCGTGGCAACCGAGGAGTGGGCCCGGAGGCCGGCGAGACCCGCGTCGTCGACGGCGTCGCTGAGTCGCTGCTGGTTCCCGTGATGCTCCGGGTCGGACGCCAGCCTGTCAGGTCTGAAACATGAGCGTTGTGCGCGACCGCGGCGTTCGCGAGCGCCCCTCCGTCGTGTCCTGTCTCATGGGCGTAGCCTGGGTAGAGCTGCCAGCAAAGGCCCGCGGAAGCGGCCCGGGAGGCCACGTATGTGGCGGCCGCGTGCTGCTCGGCTGGGTGTGAGCCTAGCCCTTACTTGCGCAGCTTGAGTTGCGCCTGCCGCCAGGACGCGTCGGAGGGCGAGCAGCCAGACATTTTCTCGAAGCAAGATCGCACGCCGTCGCCTATCGCCGCCTGCGACGCCGCCGCGTGCGCGGTGGGCGGCGCCGCCCGCACGCTGTAGCCCTGCTTGCAGAAGGAGGCGCGCTGATGCAGGAGGTGCAAGGCGATCTGCGCGTCCTCCAGCACCCCCAGAAACTCCTGCGCCGCAGAGGCCCGCCGATTCGTGTGCTGGCAGCAGCAGGCGTCGTCTCCGACTGGCGCCCCGAGGAGCTCGAAGCTCCAGTCCGCGCGGAGGCGGACAGTGGCGGGAAAGCCCCGAGGTCGACTGCGCTGTCGCTGCCGTCGGTTACCTCGCATTTCCCCGGCCTGGTGCTGAGCTGGAGACCCAGCGCGGCGACCAGCTCCTGGAGGAGGTGCGCCACCGCGAGCCAGTATCCCGCAAAGGTCCCGTCGTCCAGGAAGGAGCATTGAGGTCGATCTGGCTGCGGGGCGCGGGCCAGGCGGTGTCGGGGCGGCGCGCAGGACCCTTTCGGCGCATCGCTGGAGACCGAGCGCAAAAAGCAAGGGTTCAAGCTGGTCGCCCTCCTGGACTCCGCATTCCGAACGGATCCTGTGTTTGCCGAAGCGGAGGGAACAAGGGGGCGAGTAGCACCAGTCGGCCCAGGGCGACAACCTTAGGAACTCTCCGTGGAGAGCCTGGAGCAAAGCCTTCTGGTCCAGCGTGTTGAACGCGTTCGAGGTCAAGACCTTCTCCTGGTGCCCCTAGTTGCGCGCCCACCACTGCGTGGACAGCGGCCTTGGCTCTTCGAGGCACCGCGACGCCGACCTGGAGCGGCGCCAGGCCGCCGCGCGCCGCGTCGGCCACCTCGCGGCAGAAACACTTCCTGGAGAGGCGTCGGAGCGATTCTCCAATGGCCACCGGGGGGGCGCCAGCGGAGCACTCCGAGACGGAGGCGGGCGCGTGGCCGCACACGGGGAGGGCGCGAAAACGCTGCGCAGCTGCCCTGGCACAGGGCAAATGCCCTGTCACGGGGCGAGGGCACGGGCTGTGCCCTCGTCCCGT